ATAATTGCTTGTATTAGATCTATTTTTATATGTAATAGCAAATTCTTCTGCTATTTCTAGGTCATCTGTGATTATTCTATTATCTTTCTTTAGTTGAGTGATTTTGTTATAAGCCGGTATTCCAGATATTTTTTTGACATTCTTCCACATTTCAGACATAGGGGTCCTACTGTTTATACTGGACACAAATTGAGCCCATGAATTTCTTTTTGAAGTTTTTATTGTTAACTGAGCTTTAGCTTTAAGTTTTTGAAATTCTATTTTATTGTTAAGTGTTTTATGTCTTTTGTATTTGTTAAAGGCTTTTTTGGAAGCCTCGATCGATGTCTTACATTGTTCATTCCACCAAGGAACTGGTTTATGTTTTGTAACAAGTGCAGTTTTTTTAATGGTTACCTCGGCTGCATCTAAGATGATGCTGAAGAAGGTTTCTATGTCTGTGTCAATATTGTTGGATATTTTACAGTTTGCGACATTTTTTTCTACAATATCTTCAAATAATGTCCAATTTGCATCCTTCGTTTTCCACTTAGAGGTGTGTTTTCCATTTTTGGGCTTGAACAAGTTATTGGTGATTATTATTGGGTAATGATCACTATTATAAGTGTAGTCTAATCTGTCCCATGTCATTAATGCAGAGAAGTTATTATCCGCTATCGTTAAGTCCAAGGGAGTTGATTCGCCTGTTTGTATATTGAATCTTGTAGGTCTTCCATCATTCAACAGTGATAAGTTATACTGATCTATTAATTCTTCAATAATACGTCCTCTTTTGTCATCATATGCAGAACCCCAAATACTGTTGTAAGCATTAAAATCACCTGTTAAAATACGCGGAGAAGGTATTTGTCTCACGAGGTTTAAAAGGTCCTGTTTATCAATTAGTTGTCCTGGTGGTAAGTAAATCGTGCAAATATTTATTTTTGTCCCTTCTAGAGAAATAGCTACAGCTTCTAAATGTTTTTGTAGGGGCTTTCGAAACATTCTAACAAGGTTTAATTAATTTTTTATATAAATTTTACTACACTTAATTTACTCTTATGTTAAAATAAGTAAGATAAAAATGTTATTTGACTTTTTAGATCTAAGCCTTGAAAACTTTTTTACAAATATTTAATCGTGCTGGATTTAGAATGAAAACCGGAAAAAAAGAACTTTTCACATAAGACCCTACATAAAACAAACAAAAGTTAAACGTTTCCACCCACAGGTTTTACTTTCATGTTATATCAATTTTATTTAAGCTTTAAAGTGAATCGTTGCCGATACATGCTACTAAAAAACGACGAACTGAATATTGATAGAAAATTTAATAAAAGTATACACCGTATTCGTCAATATAAACAGTACAGAGTTTAAAAAGTTTATTTATTTAGAAAATGTTCAATAAATGAACTATAGTAACGTAAACAGGATTCCTAAAAATTATCTTTTTTTCTGTTGCAGTTTCAGTACGTAGGGGCTAATCTTTCATATCCTCTATGGTGGATTTTAAAATCTCAAGGTGTTATGTCTGGCTGCCAAAAATGTCGGTTGCGTTAGAAATTTCTCAGCAGTCTCGTATATTGCGCAGCCACAAGTATTCTTTTCTTCCTAGTCTATTGTTACTCCCTATATTACATTACTGTATAAGGTTTTATGTTGTTTGTAGTTTAGTAGATAATATTCTAAACCTATTTACTTTCGAATCGAATCGAATTGAGGATTCGGCCCAGATCTGTGTTTTTATTTAGAAAAAGATGTTTACAGTTTAAATATAAGTCATTATTTATCGTAACATCATCCTTTCTCCACGGGTGGTAGTAGTTTTGTGGAGAGGTGGATTTTTGGATCATGGTTTTCATTACGGAAAGAAAGGCAGAATAAGCAAATTAAATATTGGTCTAGTTAAATTTTTATGGCACTTCTCGTTTTAAAATAATTTCATATAAATATAATTATTATTTTTAAACCTATTTAGTTTATATATTAATTAAATTTACTATCAAATGATATTTATTCATATTTTATTATTAATTTAATACCTCGTCTGAATTGATAGGTCTCTCAGAAGTAAATAAAGTATGCTTTGTTAATACGTTAGCCGGCGGCGTTAGAAATACATAATAATTTATTGAAATATTTTAATATAATATCATTTGCTTAAAATATAAATAATAAAGCTAGGGTAAGGTGGGGCAATTGTGTACCCGGGCTAAGTGCGTTTGGACTAAATAAAAATATTTTTAACGTGAAGTTACAAAGTTACGAAATAGCTACACACATGAGTAGCAACGTCGTTGAATTCAAGTCGTGTTTGTTGGTAGTTACGTTTGAGGTTATACAAAGAGCAGATAAATGTTTTTCTAAGTCTTGTTAATCTCGCACCGCTTACTAGATTTTAATTTTTATAGAATATTTTCGGATAGTATTGTAGAAATTTGGATTGTTTTGATACTTTTTATGTTTTTTGCTATAGTTTGTTAGTAGCTAACAGGTGTGCACTTGTTCCAGAGATTTATCATATGGGGCAAGTGCATTTTATATGTGGGAGCAAGTGCGTCTTTACCTTAACGCACTTGCACCGGCATAAAATTCGAATACAATTTTTTAATTCTTAGGTAGAGATGGTCCGAAATTACGTCCGAAAAACGGAGAGAGATCCGCAATATTCAGCAAAAGCCCCTAACAATACCTTAACGGATATAGGAAATCAGAATTTTACTGTCAAATAAGCATCGCGCACATACAATATTCCTGTGACAACATTACGGGATCACATGAGTGAAAGAAGAAGCGCGAAAGGATCAGGACAAGGTCGATTTACCGACATTCCATTGGCAGAAGAAAGGCGATTGGCAGAAGGTCTTCGCACGATGGAGCAATGGGGATTCGGTTTGTCCCGAGAAGTTTTAGAATTAACCCAACAGTTCGTCCAATCAAGCAACTTAAAAACTTAATTTAAAGATCGTATACCAGGTGAAGACTGGTTCTTAAATTTTAAAGGAGGACATTGGCTGTCAATAAAGAAACCGGAAATAGTTGAGTTTGCAAGGAAAAAACCATAAATCATTTTGTTGTTGAAGATTATTTTAAGTTGTTGAGCGAAACCATTCAATCTTTGGGACTTGCTGACAAACCTGAGAGAATCTACAATATAGATGAAACAGGATTTTCGAGTGACCCCTCTAAAACAAAAGTTGTTGGGAAGCAAGGAGCACCATGCACAAGAACCACCAGTGGACCGGGAAGGGAGAACCCTACAGTGGTGATGGCAGCAAGCGTTAGTGCCGAGAAAATTCCTCCATTAATCGTTTATAAAGACAAAAATATCTAGGATGAATTTATGAACATGATGCCTTCCCTGGTACTGCTTATTGGATGGAAGCTATTGTATTTCACAACTATTTTAAGCGTACTTTTTAAAAAAAAAAACATTGGTCCTGATCGGCCTATACTAGTTATCTACGACGGACATTCAACCCACCTCACGGCAGATTTGGTTAATTACGCGAGATCGAAAGGAATCACCATCCTCAAACTACCGGCTTATACTAGTCACATTTTCCAGCCATTGGATTTAGCGATGTTCAAAGCTTTAAAATCAATGTGGGATGAAGAACTTGTGAAATGGTAACGACAGTTTGCTGGTCGGAGATTTCCCAAAAAATTTTTTTTAAGCTGATTGGGAAAAAGTTATCAAAAATGGATTTAAGAAGGGAGGTAACTTTCCATTTCATGATAAATTTGTACCCGAAGATCGTTACGAGGCTTCTTCTTTAAGGCGATGGCAGATTTTAGCGGACGTCAGAGATCAGCGCCAAGAGACTTCTCTAGATGTGACAGATATTGCCACCTTCGAGACAAACTCGTGAGTATCGTATTTTAACAATATGGAAGTAGGATTTTAGCGAGCTACTCTCGTAACCTTATGATTTTTTCTCTGTTTTCCAAATGCCCAGTATCTTTCGAACATCTCCTACTACAAACCGTAAAAAGCGGAACACCAACTTAAGCAAAAAAGAAAAAGCGAATTGCAGCAGGCAGTGAAGTTATCATTGCCGGATCCAGCAAAGGCACCTTCCAAGACTCGAGTAATGAAGACCAGGACGAACAGATATCTCTACACGATGAGTCTGAAGGTAGCGATTTCGTGGGACAGATGTGGGAAACTGGGATCTGGTGGCTTTCAAAAGCTAAATTCGGGACAGAAATGGCATTTTATATATAGACCACGTGATTTCTCTCACTCAAAGTGATACCCAGGTGAAGTTCCTGAAGAAAAAAACAAAGTGCTTTGTTTTTCCTCAAGTGGAAGATATATCCCTTGTGACAAAAGATAATACCCTTAAAGTATTACCAGCTCCACATGTTAGGAGAGGAATGCATAATTTCAATATTAAGTTTCTGCAAGATATACAACATAAATTAAGATAAACTGTACAATTTTTGCATTTAAATAAAGTACTTTCTCATTTTTTGGTGTGTCATTAGACCCTTCTGAAGTTATTTTGTTTTCAAAATTATGAAAATTAAAAAAAAATTAGAACTGTGTTCAGAAAAGCCTAGTAAATAAGTGCACTTACCCGTAATTCAACACAAGGAAACTATATCAAACTATGCCCGGGAAACGCACTTGCCCCAAACTGAAGGCCAAGTGCGCTACTGCGATATGTGAAAGAGAAAAAGTTATAATTAATAATCGTGAAAAGCCACAGATTTGGAATCTTCCCTAAATAATTATCATTGTCAAAGTACTTGGTGCACTTATTCTCGATTTGGTGTAAATAACCCAATTAAAGCATTGATACAATTAAAACCAAATATGAATAAAAGGGGACGCACTTCCTCCACCTTACCCTACTCTATTTTATTTTAAATATAATATTTAAATTTTAAAAATACAGAAAACATAGTAGGAAGTTTCGCTCTAGTCTACTGTACAATGTTTTTTTAATCTTATGACGATGATGTGATACTTATATACATCGATTTTAACATGTATCTAATTTTTGTTACAGATGCATTTGAAAGTCAAGTTATCCGAATTCTACACAAAGTCCACTCAAGTTTAGATAAAAACGACCATCGAATGACTGATCAAGATAGAAGAGATTTAACAGAATTAGAATGGAAACAAGCGTCCATCGTTCTCGACAGATTTCTTTTGGCAATATTTCTTCTAATTACTGTTATCAGTACAGCTACCATTTTGTGTCGTAGTCCTAAAGATCAAACCTAAAGCGATGTAATATAAGAAATTTGTTGTGTTAACTATCGTAAAGAAAGAATCATTTATATGTATGTATAAAGAAAGTAAAGTGATGAAATGCCGTTCGGACTACGGAGAAAAGTCACTTTACACTCAATTTACGCACAATATTTTTTCTACAATCATATATTTTTATTAAGGTAGATTATTAGAAGATACCCTTGTGGTTTGTACATTGAAGCATTAAGTTTAAGTTGTATAACTGTTATGTTAATGTTACTTTTGTTACGGTTACTTTTATGTCAATGTAACTTTTATGTATAAATAATAAGAAAATCTACGTATGATATTTTAAGTCTTTTCAAAAAAAAAACAAAAATTATAGTGAATAAAGAGATTTATCAGTGATATTTCAACATGTTAAAGTACTACATTGCAAAAATATTAATATACTAGGTTTCCTGTTCAGATGCACAAGTACCTAGTAAATTGAATAACTATTTCTTTGCTGTTTTGATTAAATTTTGGCAGGCTGGAAATCAGTGGCGGATAAATGAGATATTAACTTTGAAAAGTTTGTCTCTACCAAAATTTTTGAAAAACAGAAAATATAAAGTTTTAACCAGTGGTACCGTATACAATTTTATCTATAATCTTAATAATATTCTTAATCTTAATCTAAAAATGCCATAATATACAGAGTATTCCATTTAAATTAACAAAGTTGCTCTTCACTTCCGGTATAAACGGAAGTGACATCTGTCAAAATATTTTCTTTGTTCCAAAAGTTTGTGATAACTTGTAATCCCCATAAACCAATTTTCATAAATCTCGTAACCGAATAAAAACGGAACTACCTTTTTTATGTATCGATTGTAGAAAAAATAGTTTATACTTTTGCCTAAGAGTTTAAATAAATGTTATATTAGTTGAATCATTTTTTTTATTATTAAGTGATAAATTCGTATTTCCAAAAACTGTAAATTTCCAATATATTATTTATTATTACTCATGACTAATAAGTTTTATCTTTTTTATAGAAATATATGTATTAAAAGAATATTTTTTTCTATAAATAAATAATAAACCGATACACTGGAGTATCAAGGACAGATTATTGAATGAACTAAAATTGAATCGGTGATTATTAAAAGGAACTAACTCCAAAAATGTACAATTTTGACTTTTACACGTGAAGCGGTATTTTCGGTATTGCCGATCGACTGGTAAAGAAAGGAACCTACTCCCATTAAGAGTGGGCTTAGATTTTGTAACATATGGTTGGGTTGTGAAAGGATCTCAATCCCGGAATTAGTTCCATTCACGACTTTTCGTAGTTCTCTGACTTAACTTTCGACCGTTGTCAATGGCGCACGCCCGACTTGGCATTGCAGTCACATACCTGAGTGAGTTTTACCAGAGAACTACGAACATGGCATGTTATCTTTAATGGCAATGACGGTTCATTCTCTTTAATTCTTGACTAAACTAGAAAGGTGGCGCCACCAAAAACTTTCTTCAAATGCGCATGTCATCGCAACAACAACACAACGCCATTTTATTTTGTCTTTGTCAACGCTTTGGATTTATATTATTTGATTGTGTTTTTTTTTTACTCACAGTTTGGCTTTATAGTTTATAGCAGAGACTTTTACTTTAAAGTAAAAATTCAGTTTATCTGAAAATTTTTTAATAAATCTTTAAAATGGTGTTTAAATTCTGTGTACCCGGCTGCAAAAATTACCAAAAAGATGCTCAAATGCATATTTTTCCGAAAAATCAAGAGGTAAGTCATAATTAATATTTATTTTAATATTAAAATGAAAAATAGCTTTTATTTTGATTTGCCATTAATATTTTAATAACGATTAACAAACAAGATATTCGTAAGTATGTATCTCTAACCTTAAAATGTTTTAACCTTGCTTGTGTTAGAACAAATGTAAAAATATCCAGAAACTGAAGTATTTACAGATGATACAACAAAAAAAGGAAAGAAGTAATAGATAATATGATTTACATTGCTATTATTGTTATGGACTTTAAATATATTTTTTATACTATATCTATTAGACACTAATTCTTGTATGTTTTTTGTAGCTGTATAATGTTTGGATTAAAAGGATTGGCCATCCCAATTTACAAGAAATGCCAATGGAGAAGGTACGAAAATCATACCGTGTATGTAATGTCCATTTTGGGCCAGATGCACAATACATTGGACTAATAATAAATCCACTATTAAAAAAGATGCTATTCCATCTTTATTTTTACCACCAAGTAAGTATGTTTACGTTCTTAAAATAATTTTGTTACTTGTAAATTGTGTCGTTATTTTTTTAAATAAATATTTTAATTTTTGAATTTTGTTTTTCTTCCTTTCCTTTACTATTATGTGCAGTCTGTTCATAATTGCAATAAAAGATTCCACAATGTAATGCAAATTACAAAAAATTATCGTTAATGTTAATGTAAGAAACAATTGTCGATTATTTTTTATAATTTGCATTATGTTGTAGAATCTTGTTTTACTATAATAATTAGCAACAAAGCTTATTCGAACGTTTAAAATTCCCGCCGCGTCATTACCCATTTAGTTCATGACTAAACCAGGCAGAGGGCGCTGTATACATTGCAATTTTTGGTATTAAAGAGTTGCCTATCTATCTCTACTTATATATATTTAATCTATGACTACGAACGCATGTGTTCGTATGTTCTCTGGTTTTACTGTTTTCGTAGTCTGTTCTACTCGGCTGTTAACCGAAGTGTAGTGTATATTCTGCATTATTTTGTGAAATGATGAATATTGAGGATGAAACTAATGTTCAAAATGGAAAAAAAACGTATGCGCCAGCCAGAGAGCTGGAAGTCTAATGTCAGGAAGGTGAATAAATTAAAAGGAGAAGCATATAAAACTGCAAAAGAAAATACAGATCCAAAAAAGACAATCGTGTCGCCTATATGCAACTAATCGTGTAATTCTTATTATATTCAGCTGTAAAATGGATTGTTACAAAAAGTTTACAATGGATCAACAAATTGATTTATTAAATACCTTCCACAATCTGAATTATAAAAATGAACAGAACCTTCATTTACAATGGCTTATGGAATGTTTCCCGATTAGACGCAGAAGAGGGAACGTAGAGAAACGCAATGCTAGTTTTAAATTTTTTTGCATTCGAAATAATGATCGGGTGGCAGTATGCCGCAAAGCATTTATGAATTTGCACGTTGTTAGCCAAAAACGTGTTTATCGTATTGCAACATTACTATTACTACTAAGCCATATTACATATTTGGATGCGAGACTCAATGTAAAAATAATTTACAAACTTTATAAATCAAAATATCCAAAGACAACGGTCAAATATGAATTTTATTTAAAATATTTTAATGAAAACTTTAACCTGCGATTTGGTCGGCCTCAAATTGATGTTTGTTCATCGTGTGAAGCAATGGAAACAAAGTTAAAGAATCCTAATATGTATCGGACCGGTTGTAAACAATAAACACAGTATAGGAAATACTACCGACTTTAATGATCACTCCAAAACGTAATGCAAATAACAATATATATTAAATAGGTCATCGTCGCGTCTGTATTCCTGAGTGTTTTCTCAGCTGATTGTGACGTAACCGCACTGCAGGGTTGCCAATACATCACACTCCTCCCTCCTGGATGAATCTACTCATCATAGTCCTCCAAATACCTTGGAGGTTTTCTTATTCGAGCAGGTGGCTTTTTAACTTCAGCGGCGTGCTCTACAATTTCTGGTTCTTGGTCCACAAATTCGTTTGGATGCAGAAACAACGGTTGCGGAGTTACGTGTAATTTTTTTTCCATCGAGGTTGACGGTGTAACTTCGTCTGTTGTTTCTTGGTCACACACACGGGTTCTGATTTGGTCAGAATGACGACGTAAAATTTTACCATCGGGGGTTTGAACTTTGTAGCTTAACGGTCCAGTGGTTTCAATTATTTTGGAAGGAAGCCACTTTTGACCACCTGGAGCAAATGACCTTGCAAATACAGTGTCGTTTTCTTGAAAACATCTGGGTACTGTTTTGTAAGAATCGTTCATCTCTTGCTTAGATAACATCTCTTTTCTAAAGTCGGGCTGTAAACGATCAAATAATGAGCCCAATTTTCTCCCCATTAATATTTCTGATGGGCATCTCCCTGTTGTGCAATGGGGTGTAATGTGCTGAGTAAGGAGATATCTGTGCAATGCTAACTGTATTTTAGTTTCTTCATTACTATCTGTCATTTTTTTTAGTGCATTTTTTACATTTTGTACCATGCGTTCCGCTTGCCCATTACTACTTGGATGGTATGGTGCAACCAATGCTTGTCTAATAAGGTTTTTCTTTAAAAAATCTTGAAACTCAGCTGACGTAAAACAAGTTCCGTTATCAGATACGACGACATCTGGGATGCCGTGAGTGGCAAATAAACCACGTAATACATCTATAGTCACAACACTAGAGGTATTTGGAACGATTTTAACCTCCAGCCACTTCGAGTACGAGTCTATGATAATCAGAAACATTTTGCCTTTAAATGGACCGGCAAAATCGAGGTGTATTCTTGTCCATGGAGCTCTGGCCCACTCCCACGGATTGATTGGAGCCTTTTTTGGCATGTTTCTAGACTCCTGGCACTCGCTGCATGTATTTACTAGCTGTTCGATTTGTTTGTCGAGATTTGGCCACCAAACATATGAGCGTGCCAGTGACTTCATTTTTACGATTCCGGGGTGTGCTGAGTGTAGCAAATTCAGTATTGTTTTCCTCCCTCCTAGTGGAACTATTACCCTTGTACCCCATAACAGGCAGTCTTGATAACAGCTAATTTCGTTTTTACGTAGCAGATAAGGAGTATATTCGTCTGAAAATTTAATTTTCTCATCAGGCCAACCTTTCCAAGCCCACTGCAAAACTTTAGATAACACTGGGTCTTTCTTAGTCTCATTGGCACTGTCTTTGGCACAGATTAGTTTTTCTGGGATGTTCTCAAGCATCAAA